CTGAGTGTGGTGGGGGAAGATGGGGCAGAAAAGAATCTGTGCAAGGCATCAGCATTACTCAGACCTCTCAACTCCTCAGTGTTTGTGGACAAGTGCTGGGTCTCAATCTGTGAGAAGCCCACTGAGTGAGATGGCAGTGGGCAAATTTCTCCAATAGGAAGAACACACATGCTGGCAAACTTGTTATTCATGTTGCTCTTGATAAAGCCTCCACCACTGGTCATCGAAAGTGGGTTTTTGGATGGGAATAGAGGAGCACACCTGTAATCCCAGCAGCTGGGGAGACTGAGGAAGGAGGATCGTGAATTCAAAGCCAGCCTCAGCAACTTAGCAAGGCCCTAAGCAACTTCGTGAGAATCTGTCTCTAAATAAAATGTTTTTTAAAAAAGGGTTGGGGATGTGGCTTATTGGTTAAGTGCCTCTGGGTTCATTCTCTGGTATAAAAAAAAAGAAAGAAAGAAAGAAGGAAAGAAAGAGTGTTTTCTGCTTCCAGGAGGAGCCTGACATGGAAGGAAATATCATCTCTTGCAAAAGAAGTCCCTAAGGAAGGAATTTAGAACCGTTAGCAGAATCCCAGAGAAAAATCTGTGACAAATGACAAATGTAAATTCTGATTTGAAGAAACAGACAAGATCAATGACCTTGAGAAATCATAAGTAGGAAAATGGTGGTAGCAATAACAGAAACCTAAACACCAGGAAGAGGACAGTATGGGAACTGTGAAGGAATCTGAGAATGAGACTTACAGAATAAAAATCTAAATGCATAAGACCCAGGGCCTTAGAGCTAGGCTTGCTCTGAGTGTGAACACACTCAGAGGAAGAAGTTTAACCATCAGATGGGAATGCAGATGTAGGATTGAGAGTGATGGGGACATATAGAGTTTTACACATTTAGCAGTCAAGCTGATGGAGTTGGTGAATAAAATCCTGAGAAAAGATACAGTTTGTGAGAAGAAATTTGCAAAAGAGAAATAAGCTGATGGTATGATCTTGGGGAAAGTCCTATGAGTAAGAGAAATGGTGGACGCCAATAAAGCAGAGAAGAAAAAATAAGAGATAAATCAGGAGAGGGCAGTGCTCACAGGCAAACGGGGTGGCTTTCTAAATGAGATGATGTGGCCAACCTTGTTTAAAGCTTTGGAAGGCTCGATGGGAATGGTGGGCCTGTGAAAACATGATGTTTTAGCAATTTGGGTATCTATCTACTAAATGGTTATATTGATTTTATTGCTGATTTTCTATAAAAATAAAAAATAAGCATATTGGTCAGTAGAAAAGGGAAATGTTTCAGAGGTGGAAAGTGGTTTTAAGGAGGAGAAGAAACATGGTTTCCTCTGAGAAGTCAGGGAAGAGATGGTACGGAGTCAGATGTCCACAGAGCTGGGACACAGAGTAAGTACGTAGTGCTTGTCCCCACATGGACTGGGTTTCTTCAGGCCTGGTGGAGGAAATAGGAGAAAGGATTTAAGGGGTTGAGGAAAGAGCCATCTATTTGGATTCTTGATGAGAGGTGAGGACAATTCATTCAATGAGCAATGGTCTGTGGAAGACTGAGGAACAGTTGTGAGTGTTGTGGTACTCAGTTGTAGCGGCTTCTCCTAGCAAGACCATCCTCCCTTAGTATCCATAGGGGATTGCTTCCATGACCCCCCAAAGACACCAAAATCCATGAATGCTCAAGTCTCTTATATAAAATGCATCGTATTTGCATATAATTTATATACACCCTTCCATATATTTTAAATCATTTCTAGATTCCTTTAAATGCCTAATACAATATGAATTCTATGTAAATAGGTGTTGTATTGCTTAGGGAATAATAAAGGAAATAAAAGTCTGCTTGTTCAATACAGATGCATTTCTTTCTCTGTGTATTTTTGATCCACAGTTGATCGAATCAAAGAATGTGGATCCCAGGAATATGGAGGTCCAACTGTAGTTCATGACATGGTTTCAAAATAAAGGCCACAATCCTGGTCTAAGATGGGGAGAGAAAATAACACTTCGTGTGTGGGGAAGGATCCTGCTGTTATTGCTGGTCCTGAATCTGTGTTGGAATGACATGAGCATGGTTGAACTCTGGGAGACTCACAATGAAGGTGAGTAGGTTAAACAAAGACGTAGGTGCACATGGAGAATTTGGAGAAGCAACATGGTATACAGAAAAAATAAGTAGCAGTGTGATTGAAAGTCCTCCACTGAATTCCACTTTGTAAAAATGTAAGCCATTTGAGTCTCAATTTACTAATCATTAGTAAGGACAATAAGTCTTCTCACACAGGCTTACTTAAAAGAATTAAGTATATTAACATATATAAAATAGCTAGAACCTGGTATTAAATGAAAATATTAAATGAATTTTATTTTTTATCTTTATTTTTTTTTAATTTTTTATTGTTGGTTGTTCAAAACATTACATAGTTCTTGATATATCATATTTCACACTTTGATTCAAGTGGGTTATGAACTCCCATTTTTACCCCGTATACAGATTGCAGAATCATATCAGTTACACATCCATTGATTTACATGTTATTAAATGAATTTTAAAATCTATTGTGCTAGAGCAGTGTTCTATAATTTCAAGTTTTTAGTCTCTTTAATTGGACATATTTCTCTTTTTTATTTGTTTACTGTTCTTTTATCTTTGGGTTTTAAAGTTTAGAATCTTCCTTTATACAGGAAATCATAAGAGTTGCTGCTAAAAGGGTAATGATCATAAGTGAGCTGTTTCCATAGTGGCTGGTTTCCCAGGTGAGGTACTTCCGTAGGCTCAGATCTACTGAACATCTTATTTCAAGTATGCCAAAGAAAGCATGCCTTGGAGGATCCATGGGGAATTCAAGTTGAAGGTTAATGGGTGCATGCAAGTCAGGAGAGTATTCTGTAGTTATTATTCCTTGTTATTCCCCCAAAGCAGCTTTTCATGTCCTCTGAATATAACAAAAGTATAATTAATGCTCCTAAGTCTCCCATATCAGTCTTAACAACAATGCTTGTCATCAGCAATCCCACTTTATCTTTGATACTGTGTGGCTTCTCTTGCCTCAGCTAGCTTTGCTGCGGCCAACTCATGGTTACATCCAAGACCCAGCAAGGAAGCCAGTGCATTACCCCATCACACCCCATCACCCCCATCCCTAGGGCAACCTTACTTCTAACATTTGACTGATTTCAAATAAATCAACATGTTGGCCCAATAGGATTTTTTAATTGGAAATGAATAAAGATAATGTAACTGATCAAGTGCAGTTGGCAGCCAATGGAAAAACAAACTCTTATAGACAAGGAGTGACCTTTTCTCTATCTTAGGAATAGCATTTTGGATGGAAATCCTAGATTTAAAAAATAGTGGATATCAACCACCCCACCCCACCCTTTTTCTATCCTGTGCAGAAACTTGAAATAACCTTGGGAGCACTGGAGAGCTTTTTCTATTTCAGAAGCTCAGCAAATGTGCACATGATAAGGCTTGATCAGATTGTGGCAGCAAGAGAAGAAAATCAGTGTTCCCAGAGCACCTATAAGTCGCTGTCACTGCCCTAACCTTATGCAGTTGGTATCATAACTAGATGAAAAAAGAAAGAAACAACCAGATCTCCTGCAGATTCTTCTGGTCAGAGGGTGGGGGTCAGAGAAGGAGAGACCTATTTACAGTGTTTTTTTCTTACAAGGACTGGTCTTATCTAAGAATTGGATTATGTTGAAAAGAAAAACTGCCACTGTGAAGCTTTGAGTTCTTTGAGCTTTTATAAAGGGACCCAAAGTAAATGCCACGTATTGGCAGAGTGATTTCACACACTCTGAAAATGCCCACATCTGAGGGGTGTATGGGGTAAGAAGCAGACTGCTCTGTGCAGTCCCAGGAATGCAAATCATTGTAGAGGAGGAAAGGTGGTGGTAGAAGAAATCCAAGAGATAGAAGTTTTCCTGTGCTTAAGAAAGCCACAGTCATGGAGAAAGCTTCACAAAGGAAGGCCAGCTGATATTGTGTTGTTGTTATTGTGGTCTGGGTTTTAATTGAAGTAATGGCTTTCACCATGCAATCACCCAAAGTCTTCAGAAGAATCTTCTCTGTGCAGCTAGAACACTTGTCAGGGTGGAACTTTGGAATAACAAAGCAATTGAGTATGGGGGATGGATAGAGTGAACAGGAACAGAATGAAAGATAGGCATTGTAGAAAGCAAGAAGCAGGAAGTTGGTCAGGTATTCAGAGGAAGAGGGACGTGAGAGCAAGAGGAAGCCAAAACACAGAGGCCCAAGACTCCAGGGTGTGGGGACACAGGTGAAGGGGACTTTGGGGGGAGGGCATTGGGTTTTCTACTGAGTGTAGGAATGCATTGAAGACTCTAGTGCAAGGTGATGTAGAAATGGGTACCTTAGGAGTAGCCAGATGGGTAATGCACAGCTAAATTATCAATGCCCTTTAACTGAGATCAAAAACTATCTACCTGATTCATACAACTAGTAGGGGACATTGCTCTCTAACTTAAAAGCCTAATTTCTTTTTACTACACTCCACTCTCTCTCTAAGAAATAATAGCCAGTGTGTATTGAGTCTTTACTATAAGACTCAAGCTGAGTCGGGTATTACTAATATCCTCATTTTATAGCTGAGGAAACGATAGTTGACTGAGATTATGTAATTCAGTGAAACTCCCTGAATAACTGAACTACAGCCCCAGTCTCAGAGTCCCAATTCTTAAACCCTAGCTGTATAACTCATTCAGGAATGATAGAAAGTCAGTTGTTACACAGGTGTTCTCCTATTGTCTGGTCCTATTACATGGGTTATTCATATTAACAATTTATTGAGTATGCAGGGAGGAGGAAATTATTACCAAAAAATGTACAATTAAGAAGCAAATTGAAAAGGATAAGTTTTACTATTCACCTTGACAAGATATTCAGGGCTGAATAGTGCCAAACATGGAGGAAATCTAACTTTTTTTCAAATGAATTCCAGAGCAGAAAAAGATGACTCACAAACAAGAATATCCTTTAAAATCATCTTTTTATTCACTATAAGAATATAATCTGCATGTCTATACAATCCATCATGCAAAAATCATGGTAGGCATTTTACAAGCATTGCAGACTCTCAACATCTGTATGTTTGCCCAACTAAAATATTAACAAAGGTTGAAAAACAACATCTTAGGAGAAAGGAATGCAGAAGGAACCAACTCTCTTCCTCAGCCACATGACTTCCAACTTCAAGAAGAACAGCCGAGAAAGCACAGCCACACTGAAATCTGAAACCTGAGTCCAAAGGGACTGAGAGATATGGAGCATCACCAAGGATGCCTCCTCTTTGGGTAGCCAAAGAGCTCTGCACAGCCAGCACTAAAGCATCTGTAGACAAACAGGTAGGAATTAACCTAATACAGGTGGAAGAGACACCATCAGCCTGCAAAAGGGTCTTCTTACCCACACACCAGGCAGGGAGCTGAGAATTACAATCGCCTCCCTTAATGAAAAGTCACAGTGATTTTTCTGCTTGTACAGCAATTAAATTTCCCCGAAACACCATTAGAAAGCACATTATAAATAAATTGCTCAATAGCATGATGGTCACTAAACTCTGGAGCTTGCTCAACTTGGATAGCTGCAGTTTATTGGAAATGAATTGTGGGTGAGGACAGGACAAAGTGACACTAAACCCTTGACAATCAAGTCCTGCAGGTTGTGGCTGTGGAGGACTGCTCCTTCTTTGTGGGACTGTCCTGGAGCATTTGTCCCGCCTATGGAATGCTCTTAGCTACTTCTTTTGTGCAAATATTACCAACCAGTTTTAGAGATAGCAATCTGAAACCTACAACATTGTTCATTAATCTCCATCACAAAATGCAGAGTGTGTATTATGATTCTCATTTTCTAGTTAAGCAAACTGAAGCTTTTTAAAAAATGCAATTAGACCAGGGATCTGAAATAAGAGGCAGAACAGAATGGAAATCTCATCAACAGCAAACCTAGATTTGTCTGTTGAAGCAGGCCATTTCTGAGGGAGCAAAAGTTAACTGTGGTCTTCAACCTTTCCTTGCCATTTCTGTGATTTTATTCCCAAAGTAAAAACTCTAGGGAAAAACACAGAAAAGCTAAAAATGCCACCTTGAAGAAAGGTGAGTTATAAAGGCCCCTATTCCACCAGTAGCTCTGGGAGCAACTGGGGTCCCAAAGGCCTTCATAATGTGGTTTATTAGGAAGGAATCTTCAGACTCAAGGAGAAAACTATGGAAATAAGAAATTAAAGCTACATTCACCATTTTACACCTACCTGTCTCAGGACTACAAAACCAAACTGACATCTCTAGTGGTAAATCTCAAATATGAAGTCTTTAAGGCCTGGGAATGCCACTGATTTCTAGTGTTTTCTACTGTGGTATAGATAGATGATTTTTTTTAAAGGAGCCAAATGCATCCACTGAAAAGTCTCAAATCCTTGAAAAAAACACTGAGACTACTGGGCATGAGACATGTGGTCAGAAATCAGAAAGACCTTTTTATTATTATTATTTTTAACCTGGATCTATTTTGTAAAGTCTGAATTCCAAAATATGCATGAACACAACAATTCATGGGTCTTTTTCCTCTAAGATTATTACGTTCAGAACCAAAACTTTTGTTTTGAGAGCAGTTTACTTTGAAATTTACATGTTGACTTGAAGCTTACATGTAAATATTTCAATTTTAAATAAAAATATTTAAAATTGAAAAAGGCATTTTAGAAATGCATTTCTTAAGTATGAAGAATATTAAGCCAGTATATTTATTGAGGCAAGTCAACTCTTAGAGATGAAAACAGTGGTAGGGGGAGGAATTTCATCCCCCCGCACCCCATGAACAGGAGGTTATCATTCCATTGGTCCAACTTAGACTTTGAAAGACCCAAACAATAAAAACCACACATAACAACCTGCTTACTAGTTTGTTGCTACATCTGGATTGATCCCACATCTAATGATTGAGGAGTCTACTGGAGAATGAAAGTGCAAACAGCTTCATTTTGCCTTGTTGGAGTCATCCTTCACAGAGCCAGCCCCAACGACTGCCACGGGTCTGGGAGGCCTGTCCTGCTGTGGCCGGTGAGGGCAGAGAAGCAGACACGTGGCCCTTCTTCACTCCCTCTCCTCTTCTTCTTGACCTACTTTCTGTTCCAATTATGTGAGATGTTCTGAATCTTTTTCATTTTGATCCTTTGATCCAGCATCTTGTATCTTGCAGGATGCTCATCAGTTTTCTTTGGAACTGAGGGTGCGTAGGAACTGGACGCATAAGCAGGGCGTTTAAAATGGCGCAAAGGAGGCTTGATGACTGGAGGCCATGGAAAGGAAGACAGATAGTCATTAACCTCAACCGTGACATGGCAGGACCTAAATATTGGGGCAACTTTCCTTTTGACTTTTCTTTTTAACCTTTAAGAAAAGAAACAGTTGTATTCTTATGGAACTTATTGAATATAGATGAATAAGCACATTATCAACTTGATCATTGGCTTGAAGTACATAAAGGTAGGAAATTCCTAGAGAGAGATAGTGATGACCCTATACATAAAGGTTCCCTGACAATGAATGGATGAGGTTAAGGATATGAGAGGGCACACTGAGATCACTATTGGGAATAGCACAACAAACACTGTGAGCAGAATCCTACCATAGACAGCATGTAATATTGCATATAAGCTTTTAGGGTTGCAAAGTCAGTCCCAAAGTACTACTTATAAGTTCCTCATTAAGAAAATATTTGCAAAATGCAAATAAAGGTCATACACACACACACACACACACACACACACACCCCTTAAAGCTCCACCAAAGGAAACAACTCAGTTTAAACAGGGGCAAAAGATCAGAATAGAATTCTCACCAAAGAAGATAAAATAAACAAATAAACAAATAAACACAGGAAAGGATGCTCAACAAATTTGTCACCAAGGAATTGTAAATTAAAAATACAATGATATTCTACTACATATCTACATAAAGCTAAAATTCAAAAAGTTGACAATATCAATTGTTTGCAAGGATCTAGAGCAACAAGGACCCTCTTCCTCCTGGAGATGCAAAATGGTACAGCCACTTTGAAAGACTGACAGTTTCTTATGAAGCTAGACATAGTCTTATGTGACACAACAATTGTGCTCCCAGGAGTTTACCCAATTGACTAAAAATTGTCCACCATAAAAACCGGCATATGAAGTTTTGTAAAAACTTTATTCACAAGTGCCCCAACCCGGAAACAACCAAAATCTCCTTCAGTAGGTGAATGGATAAAGAAATTATAAACATTCATATAATGGAATCTTACTGAATGATAAAAAGAAACACATTATCAAACCACACAAAGGCATGAATGAATTTTAAATGCACATTGCTAAGTGAAAGAAGTCATTCTGAAAAAGCAATCTACCAGATAATCCCATTTATGTGAAGTTCATGAAAGGACAAAACTATAGAGATGTTAAGATTAGAGACTTCCAGGGGATCAGAGGAAGGATTGAACAGTTGAAATAGAGGGTTTTTAGGGGCATTAAAACTATTACATATGATATCCTAGTGATAGGTACATGACATACATATTTGTCAAAACTCATAGAATTTTATAGAACAAGGAGAGATTTTATTTTTTTTAAATAAAAGCTATTTAGTAAGTTCTGAGAATGCCAGAATGGAATTCAAAATGTAACAAAACAATCTGAATGTGTTGCAAATGCAGGAAACAGTCTCACTGTAGAGGGTGGAAGACAAAATGCTTACCAAAGTAAATTTTGATATGAGCAGAATCTGTAAAACCACAGAGGAGATAAGCTGTACACCTGCACTGTGTTTGTTGATAAAGGTGCTTCCCACATAGGTATAGGTGAACAATTCTAATGCCACTCTGCATGTGTATGGAATTGAACAATTATGTCAGTGGAGAGCAGATGGTAAGAACTATTGGTTTAGTTTAAACTATTGGTTTATAGATGGGCAACAAGGAGGCTAGAATGATACATGTACTATTGGATTAGACTTGAAGACATGAATGTGACCTCATTTAGCTTAATAGTGTCATAAACATATCTATAGAAATATGTACTCACGTGGGTTAGTACAGACATTTTCTTCCTGTATCATTTTAAAAGTCCTAGAAGAAATGATGTAGCTACAGACCTAGAAACATCAGTAGCAATGAACATGCCGGTCACATAGATCTTGATTTCTAACATCATTCTCCAGTAAAAGGAACCAGAGCGCCTTGCAAAAATTAGTTCTAGTCCCTTCTAGGATTAGAACAAAAACTATCAAAGATAGACTGGGAGAATGTTTAGACCCATAAAATTAAAAGGCACTCAAGACCAAACAAACCATGGTGGACAAAAAAAAAAGAGTTCTAAATGAAAATCTACAAAATTGTACAAGTCAAAATAATTTGAGCACCAAAATAGGTAAGGCAGTATCAGATTGTAAACCAAAGTATAAAATAAACATCCATAAGTTTTTACTGACATAAATGATTGGATAAATAAATAATTTTGAGAGAACAGACAAATCTTTTAGGCAGATTTTCAAATAAATTATGTGGATATACTACCCACAATGAGAGGACCCCTTAGTGTGGGAAGGGCATTGTTATATCCTCCTAAAGAACATGGTCTAGAAAGGGGACAAAGGAGCAGTTTTTTAGTGGAAAAATCCAATAAATACGACCCCTTCAGGAGACTGAGGTTGACATCAATAGGAAAAAGCGATGTTGGTAGTATGCATCTTTGGACTTATGAAATGGAAATTAATATTTTGTGATGAAAATGGAACTTTACCTCTGTGGTCTTCCTCCTGAAAATACATAATCCCATTTTAATAATGAGAAAATGTCAGGTCAATCCCAACCGAGGGATATTCCACAAAATACCTGACTGGTATTCCTCAAGCAGTCAAGGTCATAAAAAAGGAGAAGTTTGAGAAACTGTCCAAGCCAAGAGGAGCCTAGGGAGACATGATGACTAAATGTAATATGTTATCCTGGACAAGATTTCAGAACATGAAAAAAAGACACAGGTAACAACTAGGGAAATGTGAATAAAGTATGCACTTCAGAAAATAATAATAGAAGAGGTAATACTAGTAAAATAATATATATCATCTAACCTACAGTTCTATCAACAGAAGAAGGTAAAGTACTGATTGATTCTTTCCTCCCAGCACCTTTAGTCTCCTATCACCCTTTCCCATATCTGCTCAAAAGTGTTTGGTCAGTGAATAAAGGTTAAAAAAAAAAAAAAAACTATCAAACTATCATTAAAGAACAAGTGGAGCTGGCACTGAGCCACCGCCCCCAAAACCAGCTCTCCCTGGAGCCACTGAACTCTCACCTGGAAAGCCAGCAAAGGAGACAGAGAGACACAGGTGGGTCAGCTTGAAGGGTAAGGCTGGGTACACATCTGTGAAATTACAGAGGCTGCCTTTGTAAAACACCAGCTCTGCATATCTCTGCCAATAATAGGAACAGGCTTAGTGCTTATGATGAAGCAGAAAATTAGACACAACTTAAATATTCAATCATAGGGAATTAAGTTCTGGTATATTCTTAAAACATACTACTGTGACATCATGGAAAGATGACATAGAAGTCTACTAACAAAAATAGATGTTCAGGTAATACTGTAATGGAAAAGAAAACAATGTATACAATCTAATCTAATTACTGTAAAATATATGAATATGTGTGCCCAGGAAAATTTGAAAGAACAGCCATTTACATCATAGCAGTGGTTATCTCTGAGTAGCCTAAACATGCTATTTCATTAGGTTTGTTTATTGTGGCTTATCCTTTCTGATTTTTCCATGGTGGCCGGGTTTTAGTGATATAGCTTTTTAAAAAAGAAATACACTATTAAAATTTATCCTATAGAATCAGGAATCACAACGATTGTACAAAATCATACCTAATGGGAAATCAGTAAAACTGAGTTCACTGTGGGCTTTTGCACTAGGTAGCTGAGAACCCATAGCTGAGTGAGCTTTTTTGCATTCTACAGATTCATTGATTTCTTAGAGCACCTACTGTATGCTGCTGATGTAACAGTGAACAAAAGACAGAAATCCCTGCCCTCATGGAGAGCACCCTCTGAAACTTTTTAGCTGGTTTGCAGAAGAAAAATGTGCCCAGGTTTAAGTGCTCATTAATGCCAACATTGCCTTTTGAGTTATCCTAATGTTGTAAAGATTGTCAGCAAAGGGTCCTATTGTGACAAAATAATATAAATTCTTCCATAATAATATAGAAGAACATAGTTATTTTTGAGATCTTAAAGTGTATAATTTTGTTTCTTAGGGTAAACAGCACCAAACACTATGAGAACAAATATAAAAACTGTCTTGCTACCCTGGAGAATGGATCAGAGATAGGAGAGGGTTTCAGATCAAGAGCAAATGGTTGGAAAGGTCTGGGCTAGCTGATTTATCACCCTTCCAGTCACCAGTCCCTCTCCACTTCATTCTATTTTTGCAGCTCAGCGTGAACCCAGCCAAAGTATTATTGAATTTCCCACTTCTCAGCGGGAAGAAACATTCACCATTTGCTGGAATTCTGATTGTCAGAACAAAAACTCCTTACCACTGGAGTGGCTGCAAATAGAGTTGGGCCTGCTGATAGAGTTCGGCTCCCTGCTGAGGCCCTGGAAATACTTGTATGCCTGCTGTCACCCTCACTCAAAGTGTGGGAAAAGGGATATTTCATACAGTGCTGTTTTGTATGCTTTCACTGCCTTTCCCCTCTGCAGGGGATCGTGATTGGATGACAGAGCATAAGAGCAGAAGCAGGTGTCAGGGCACCATCTGGGGTGCTAGGGTGGCCTCCTGAGGGTGATTTCATTCATCTTCTGGCTATTCCTGAGATTTAAGAAGGGGTCTGACCCTCCTTTCAGTAATTGGGCCCTTCCCACAACTGAACCCACTGATAGTACAACCTCTTTCCCTTGGTGGAGAAGAACTAAGAGGGAACAAAGCTCTTCCCACCCATATGCTTAATTACCAGCAAGTTGGACACTTTTTACCCTTGGGGACACATTTGAAAAAAATCTCCTCTCCCCTCTTAGAGCAATTTACTTGGAGAAAATGATCTAATCAGCTAATGAAGGTTTTGACAAAGGTACATATCTCTGCACAGAGCCCCAAAGTTTGGAAAGTCATTATCTGTATTACTTTCAATCGCACTTAGGAAAAGTTCAAGACAGAAATGGACACACCACCGTTCTTGATTTCACAATTAACCATAATGTTTACTTCTCTTTAAAGTGATGCTCTTTGGAAAGCTTTAATTCTTGTTAAACTCCC